AAAAGCAGTTAATGCAGCAGGAAGCTCAAGCTAAGGTCAGATCTGCTAAGAAAGGAAACCTCTCAGGGAGTCAGAATTCAGTACCCTAACCCAGTGCTTACAAATTGTATTGAGAGCTAAGTAGGGAATTCATTTTTGACAAATCATTTGGAACCTATCTCCATTCACAACTACGTTCCCTTGCTCTGTCAATTATCAGTATGCTGCATGTGAGAAAATTCCCCAAGTGACAATTTATTGATCTGCTAAGAAAGGAAACCTCTCAGGGAGTCAGAATTCAGTACCCTAACCCAGTGCTTACAAATTGTATTGAGAGCTAAGTAGGGAATTCATTTTTGACAAATCATTTGGAACCTATCTCCATTCACAACTACGTTCCCTTGCTCTGTCAATTATCAGTATGCTGCATGTGAGAAAATTCCCCAAGTGACAATTTATTACCATAGATTTTCTTCATTATGTCTTGTAGGGATTCATTTTTTTTTTTTTTAGAAGATTCCCAAAGTCACCATTTCAGTTGAGAAGAAAAGGCTTCTGACACGTCTCCCTCACACCTGAAGAAGAACCGCCAATCAGTGTTAAGTGCAAGGGAGTTCATCCAGATTTGTGTTTAACTACAGTGAATTTTATCATGGCAAATGGCTCTAGCTCAGCTGACGCCGGAGGATTAAATGCTCCATTGCCCCACGCGTGTGCACACAACCAGCTTCCGCTTCCTTTTGGTGAGACCAACATTGGAGTACTGCATCCAGATCTGATGTCCCCATTTTAAACTGGGCATTAAAAACTTGGAGAAGGGGCAGGGAAGGAGCCATGAAACCAACTGGAGGGTTGATAAAAAGCGCTGTACATGGAGAGAACTGCGGCACTCCAGCACCACGTGTAAGCACTTCCAGTCGATTAACCACAGGAAGAGAATTGCCAAGGGACAGGAGGGCTACTCTGACTGTAGAACAGGGAGGCCATGGCCCTATCACTTTTAGAAATGGGAGTGTGAGGCGCTTTCTACCTGCCTTAAAGGCAAGCAATGGGATGAGAAGTCAGAGAGGAGCAAGCGGGAGGGTGGCGTGTTGGGGGGGGGAGGGGGAGAAAGAGGCTGGGCTGGGTCTTGGCTGAAGATATGGAGCAGGGATGGGGTCATGGTTTGGGCACTGGTGCCCCCCAACAGTGAGCTTCAGTTGCTGCTGTTGTCTCTTGATGTCTTCAAACCAAGACTGAACGGCTTCCACAAGGTACTTCAGCCAACCCAAGCTAGGGTTTAGTCAAATACAAATAACTGAATGAAATTTAAGGGCTGTGATACACAGGCACTGACTCCGTGGGTGTTCTGGGGGCTGGACCACCCAAGGAAAAAATAGTGGGTGCTCAAGCCCCACAGGTCAGCTTCTACCTGGCAGTGTCTCCCCCTGGTGGAGATCAGCTTTTTAGCAGCAGGCAGGAGGTGCTGAGGGGGAAGGGTTGGAGCAAAGGCAAGAAGAGGAAGAGCAGGAAAAGGTGGGGCAGGGCCTTGGAGGTAGCAGTGCAATGGAGACAGGACCTGGAGCAAAGCTAGAGTCAAGCACACCCAGGAGAATGAGGAAGTCGGAGCCTGTGCTATCATATAAAGCAGGTCAATGTGATAATCTTATGGTCATTTCTGGCCTTCAATTTTATGCATCTATGAAACTCGGGTAATACCATGTGGCAATGAGTTCCACAGGTTAATCATGAGCTATGTAAAAAAAAATCCTTCTCTCAGCTTTATACAAGTTGCCTTTGAGTGTCACTGACCCTTCCCTCGTACTTGTACTGTGACTGGGTATGCGGTATCACCTGACTAAATCTGTATACCATGTAAGGGAGATAATTAGTGACAATCCTTGTGGTGATTTACATACACATACCAGGACCTGGAGTGAACCCTGCTAACCCATTCAAAGTTAATTTAAGTTATTTAATTCACTGGATACCTACAATGCGCAGTCTACCACAACAAGGGTTCTCAGGTTACAAAAGCTTGCGTGTGTCCAGTCTGAGGGAATAGCCAACTACTTAATGAACTTTCACTGCCTAAGGGAGTCTTGAGCCCTGTTAGTTGGTAGGTCTAGAATGGGGAACTGGCTGGTACCTTTCTATTGCTGGTACATGAGTGGCTAGGGAATGGTTTATGTAACACAGTTGGGAGTGTCTTTGCTTGCAGATGTTCTGAGGGGCCACGTATTCTAAACCTCTGATCCTTTTGGCTGCTCTTCTCTGGACTCTCCCCAATTTGTACACATATGGTTTAAACATTAGTGCCCCAAAATGGACACAGCACTCAGCTAAGGATTCACCAGAGCTACGGAGGGGTGGAATAACTACTTGCTGTGTCTTACCTGTAACACTCCTGTGAATAAATCGGGAGGGGGTAGGGCTCACCCCACAACAGCCCCCAAAAAGAGTGAAGGAAGCAGAGAAAGGGATGAGTGAGACAGGCCTCTCAAAGATTTTAGGTCAGAGAAGAAACCCCTGACTGGAAGAAAAGCTCATGTGAGAGCAGGTGGGGGCTGGGCCAGCATAAAGCCAGAAAGCTGGCAACAGAAATGGCTGCAGTGAGGAGCCCTGTTGCATTAGGGAGGAAAGAGGGAGCCAGGGGAAGACGAGCATGGTAGGAGTCTGGCCCTGAGGGAAAGGAAGTCCTAGCAAGGACTGCCAGGGTCATCGTCTAACCCAGGGGTGTCCAAACTTTTTTCAAAGAGGGCCAGATTTGAAGAAGTGAACATGCGTGAGGGCCGTCCCTGCACACTCAGCCCCAAGACGGAGGGCCCGCAGGGTCGGAGGCGGGCGGAGAGCGCAGGGCACGCCGGCCTCACGGCGGCCCGGGGGGGGCAGGGCGAACCCGCAGCCGAGCAGGGCTGCGGCCGGGCCCTACAGGGCCGGCTCTACGACCGCGGAGGCCAAGGGCGGGAGGA